ATCTGATGAATGTGAATGTCACTGAGATCTACTGCTACGGCCAGCAGCAACCAACTGTGAAAGAGCCCACTGATCGCATACTATCCCCTCTAATACTCGGGATTATCGGTGAATCGTGACCCTCGTGTCATACAACAGACCATTAAGGTATGTAGATACCCCCTGTGATTGAGATGGTTCTTCTAGTAAAACCTCAGCGTGCATAAAACTTGATATGGTTGTATGCGGCAGGACCTGATGATCTCCTGGATGCTCATTGTATTTTCACTGTCCATGTCACCCTCGAACCTGTATCGCGAACCGGCCTGATTACTCACCAGGAAAGAGGGCCATTGTGTGAAGTCATCCTGTTATTGCTTTGCAGGCTGCTCTTGACTCCGCTAATACTCTCATATATTCCAGGTATCTCGCCTTCTTCTGGTGAGTGTGTTGGTACTTAAACATAGGCAAACATTTTTACAAGTGAGTTTATCATAACCCCGCCTTCGAAGCTCGTAGCTTATATCGCTGACCTGTATCCAGTGACGCGCTCCCACAAAGTAAATGATCGTGACTATTCCATACTTCATGATGGAATAGCTGTATCCCAAGAGCATCTTCCTCGCTACCTTGCAAAATCTGGCCCCGTTGATGCTGATCCCCGGAAGACAAAAAAAGATGGCGGGGGAAAGAGGAACTGGTGAGCAATCTTTTTTTTAGCCCACCCCCTCCAGTCCAGTTCTAAATTTGTATATTTAGGGGTCGGTCGGGCGACGAAGTTCACGACTATGATTACACATTCACGAACGCTCGGCGCCATTCCAATAGTAGCACTCAAGGAATAGCGGATTTTAAAACCAAGTTTGAGACGATTGATCCAGAGCCTGTGTTCGAAGAAAGCTTCCATGGGGTGCAAGATGAAGCGGGTTCCGTGGATGGAAACAGCGTGATTGATGTTGACAGAGCCACTAGCCTCGGTAAGACACTGGCATAACAGAGTCATGAACTGTGCCCCATATGTGTGTTGGGAATGCTGCAACTGCTTTCACCGAATCCCCAAGCAGTAGATTTTTTGCGGAAGATTTTAAACTCATTGCGAACAAGTGAAAATGCTATTCATAATTCAGAATGTCTTAACAAGTGATGGACGAGTAGATAATTAGCAGAAATACGAGGACCATGATAATAAAATCCTGCCTCTGTATCCGGTCAAATTACATATAATAGCCGTAAGGGCATAATCGCGCTGACATACTCGTCCTTTAGCATTGTGCAACCTGTGACTAGGTAGTGGGACCAGTCAAAGGTTAAAGCCAACTTAACCGCGCCTTACTAGACCCTTCCTTTTGTTGCGGGGACCTCTCCTTTTGCTGGTTGTTGTCGTTGGATTCTTCCAAAGTAAAAGTCGGAGGGATTGGGGTTGAGGTGGACTCTTCTGCAGAGCCGAGAAGATTTTTGAACCAAAAGTCAAGCCTTCCTTTTCCCACGTTTTGATGTAGGATTTCATTCTCTCTTTCAAGATCATGCATGATTCGTGTCCGTTGCTCCGGACGAAAGCGTGCCGAGAGAAGTTCAGAATCCGATCCGTTTAGAAAAACATCATGTGGAGAACTTGGAATGTACAGGGATGCGTAGCTAGCGTCTTCATTGTATCCTGCTAAAGGTGTTAGTTCATCCAGTGACCGTAAGTGGCCCCAAAGCGGGTACTTACTGTCTCTTAGACATAGACCCAGAGTACGGAAAAGGGCCGTGTCGTAAATAAAGGGCTCGCTTCCACTGTCCATGTTCTCGGCCGCCCTTCCTGTAGCCACCCAATTGTCTTTTATCATACACCGTCGCCACACCAGCTTCTGCATAGTAATATGGTTGAGTGAACCTTGCTGAGCGTAAGTTCCGAGACGAATGACACGCAAGGCCAGGTAGAACTCTTTCCCGGATAATTCTGATTGGCTATATTCCGATGTTTGGTCAGAATCAATCAATGTTAATATATCGACCAGTTGGTATATATCAATGATTTTCCTAGTGACAACTTTGGTGAGGGTTTCACTGAGTAGTTCATGTAGGGAAGGCCTATCTTCAGCAATCCTTTTTCCAAAGTTATCAATTGCTAGGTCGACCTCAGCTCTCTGATCGATTGCGCCCTGCAACGCCGGGGAAATATAGGCGTAAATGAGTTCTTGGACGGCATCTATTTCAGAGAGATCTTCTAGATGCCGTATGTCGTTGTGGAAACCAGAATGGCTCGACATGTTGGTCTCTTCCCATGCCGCTAGTTTGGCAAGCTTCGCTAGGGATAGTTCGACACGATGACTCCATAAATCGGATTCCCCCCCTATTGCGAGTTTCTCCAGTGACTGAGCGGCGGTGCTGTAGTCAATTTCACCAATTACATCATTGATCCAGCCTAGCCGCGAATAGGCTGCATCCTTACGCAAGAATTGAGTGATAAATGGTTGGAATTTCTTCATAGCGAAAAGTATTCCCGACTGACGCATCGATAATTGCCGGGAAAAAAATGCATTTGCCCATGATTCACCGAATTTCTCAAAATAAAGAGATATTTTTTTGTTGAGTTGATCAGACTCACAGTTGATATAATCTGATGCACCGTTTCGGGAATTTTGGGGGAGAATTTCGCCCTTTGTTTGGTCTTGGAGCTCAATGATGAGTTCTACCAATGCACTCATATCTCGAAATTTTTCCGCCAACGTAATGGCATCCTCTAATCTTCCAATACCGGCAAGTTTGAAGAGTCGCCACTTGCGTTGTTTAACATGGGCGTGCTCAACAGCGATGCCCTCATCGACCAGTTTTGGGTCCTCTTGGGCAGAGAGCCAACGAGCCCGCTCACAATGCATTTGGCCTAGAACACGGAGTTGTCTGGCACCGTTGCCCGCAATTCTTTTCACTGTTAGGCTCTCAGGGGCTTCAGTGACAGATGTTGCTTGTTGAATCCAAGCCCTGCAACTATCGAGTTCTAGATCCAACAAATGGCCCGTTTCAACGTAACTGAAACTCTGAGACGTCCAAAATTCCGGTAAATTTTTGAAGCCGGTAATTAGTACGCCATCTTCGAGATATCCATCAAGAATACCGTACCGACTAGCGTGCTCATCGCGGTATCTGAATGCGGTCTCCAAGACCGCCAGAGAAAGCTCACTTGCTTGTAGTATTTGTTCTGACATATTTCGTCCCTGTCTCAATGAATGCCCTTTCTTTGGCTTAATGGCATTGAAAACCCATGGAACAATATGCCCCATCTGGAATGTATCGTAGAGAAACCAGTTGCGGACGGAGTCAACCTCGCCGTCTTGCTTTTCGACTCGTGTTTTAAATTTGTCACTCATCGAATTGATAACGTGAGCAAGAAATGTTGGTCCCTTGCCCTTCAATTTCCTAGAGCTTTCTTCTATCTTCCACATAGCCCTCTGAGCCGCAAGTTTCTCCGCGCCCCACAATAACTCCCACCAGGTTTGTTGGCTCAATGACTTATTTTGTTGCATCAAAAGACATGCCAGGTCATCCAAAGCTTTTGCTCTTGATCGTAGATTCTGTTCTAAGGATATTGCTGTCGCTGGGATGAACTTTGATGTAGATTGGAGCAAGTCTCTGCAAATATCCAACGCGGCTTGCTCGATATCCGTGACAGAGAAGTCTAGGCTACTCTTATTGTTCAAATTCAGTGGATTTCCGAGCATGGTACCATAGAATATGGCTTGCTCGATCTTTTGCTTAGCTGTGATTCGAACACATTCAGCGGTGGAACATGAGTTGTGGTGTGGTAGAGCTGTAATGCGGATGATACCAAAATCGCGAATCATTATTAAACATGCGGGGCACGAGTTCTCGTTGTTTTTGTCCTCAAAGCCGCTGCCTAAAATCTCAAAGGCCTTTCCTGAGCGGAAACTGATAGAGTCCTGGAACACCCGCTGTTGTAGATGTTGCGCGGACTGGTGTTCGGTTGAACTCAATGAGAAGAGTACAACAGAGTGATCCAGTAAAATAAATGCCATACCACCGGGCTTAGGAAGGTATAATTTCGGTTTTGAATCAAGACCCGCCGAAACCCCATGCAAATCAATAGGGTGGGAAGACTGGATATGGACTTCCTCAGCTAGGTTGACTTGCACAAGGGACATGCTTTGCGAGCTCATCCCAGATTGAGCTACAAGGAGCAAGAGATGCCAGGATGGTACCGACGCGCTAATTGGTGGCTCACGAACATTGCATCCAGCCGGCATGAGTGCAAAGTCTAAGATCTTGATGTTGGAGTCGTCAGGTCTGTTCGAATCTTCCGTACCAAGGTGACGCCATAGGTCATTTGTAATATCAAACTGTTTCTTCAATATACTCCCGTTATTCCAATGTGTATCCCAGATTTCAAACAGACAGCCTGACGTAGCGATTATAATATCTCGCTGTCCACGTTGATGAGATTCACCCGCTTTGACGGCAGCTAGGTCTTTTCTTGAAAACCCTCCACCCAAGACGTTTCTAATACCACCGAAAAACCCAATCTTACCAAGCCCGGACGCATTTCGCAGGAAATTAACAGTCACTGTCGGCTTTCCTTGTGGATCCCGAACGGTGATATGAGCAACCCTCCCCGACGATAATGTGACGATGATACCAGAAGGCTCGCAATTCACGAGATCTGTGATGTGTTCACCTGAGAGTAGATTAGGTATGCATCCCTGGAAGGTCTTCTGCTTCTGCCTGGCCAGGCCCAGTGATGCAGCACATGAGACAGTTTCCCAGTATATGATACTCCCCGTGTCAGGAGTGATGATCATAAGGCCTGGAATCCCAGCTGTTACAGTAGATAGTAGGATTCCAAGAGGAACTGGCCCATTTGGCTCCCTGTAGGATTCGGGTATGGAAATAGTAAACACATCGGCGGGTGAGGGCGAGGAAGTAGCAATTGAGTATGGCCAGATGATTGCATGGGAGTGCGTCATGGCTAAGGCATAGCCATTGCCTGCACCAAAGAAGCATTTATAAGACCCTGCGTGTTCGTGTTAACAGTGTGAGTTGTGGAGAGATAAGCCAGACTCGCCTGATTGTAGTCCGCGGATCTGATCTGGTAGAGCCGGTAATTGCAAAACATTGTAAACGTCGGTTTTAGACTACGTGTAATAGCATCAGCGACCCTCTTATTTTCAACTCATGTAGGAGAGCTAGGGTATGACCAAGCACAACTTACGAGGACAATGGTCCCATCAGCTTCGCCTCGCTTCTCTAGCTTCTTTGGACCTCTGATTGGAATGCTCTCTTGAAAAGTAGCATTGTCTGCGGTTTCAAGGTCTTGCGAAGCAAGAGTTGTTGAACAACTCCCATGCTCGTTTAGCTCGTTTTGGTCCTCTAAAGGAATATCTGAACTACCATGGCGCAAACTGGACCGTTGTCTTTTGGCTTTTGGAGGGTTAACAGGTTCATCAGAGCTTGTACGTTGGCGTCTTCGAGGATTACGCAAGGATGCCGACGAAATCGGGGCTTTTGGCAAGAACATTGTCGGAGACTCAGGAAAACGTGAATATGGCCGCCACGGAATCGTATTGTATCTAAGCCATTAGAGAACCGGGAATTAGAGGAAGAGGAGAAGTATATTTTCAGGTAAATAAAGTACAGTCTTTTGTATTGATTAGGTAGTATCATGAACGGAGATAATTTGTTGATTGATTATGTAGGCGGTCAGCGAGTCTCTGCATTGATCACGTGGTAAACATTGCGATACTAGCTGTTGCTTAGATGTTAGTCCTTGGTCAACATAATTGAGAGATATTTATATGGGTCTATCCTATGCATCACAATGCTTACATATTATACTGTTAGTGTTTCCATGAGACGCCACAGGGTTACACTTCTCGACAACTTTTTAAGATGTTCTCTACCTCTAGCTTAAATTATACTTTGTACATAAAAAGTACCCTGCTTCATCATGTGTCATGCCGGTCACGGTTCCTCATCAGATGCCAAAGAAGATGGTATACTGTTTCTAGCAAGACTACCTTACGCACAGCTCTTTTTTTTCCAGGTCCGGACCAGTCAGCCTCCTGCCACGGGTTGCCATTTTGGCTAACGGTTTGTTAGGTCATGGAGTACAGCGCGTAGGCATGGTGTCTTCATGGATCAATAACTTTCCAGACATCGCTGGGAGTTTCTTAGATGAAATGGATAATGCATTGGGGTTTCGGCTTTCTCGTGTTATTGCCGAAGGACCGAATTCAGAGCTGAATAAGACTGAGAATTCCCAACCTGCTATTATGGCGACGTCAATATTGATCCTTCGAATCTTAGAACAAAAATTTGGGTTCGATACGAAATCTCGTGTGGATGTCACCCTTGGTCATAGCCTGGGGGAGTTCTCCGCGCTGGTTACTGGGGGCTATCTTGATTTCAGTGACGCTCTAAAGCTAGTCCGACGGCGGGCAGAGATCATGGCTCAATGCACTCGAAAAGCCTCCACGGAATCTGGCGAGGATTACGGAATGGTGGCACTTGTCTGCGAGCCCGATCATCTTGACGGTCTGCTTGCAACAATCCAGGAGTTCCTGGGCCTTGCATCGACTAGTATCAAAGATGATTTAAATTACGGAACGCCGCCTATTGAGAAAGTGATGGTGGCAAATGTCAACTCTAAAAACCAAATAGTGTTGAGCGGAAGCATTGAAAGGATAAGAACTCTTCTCATTCAACTTCGCCAGTTTGGAGGTCACGATCCACGTGCAGTGAGAATAAACAGTGAAAGCCCGTTCCACAGTCCCATAATGATGCCTGCGGCAGAATATATGACACGTGCTCTTGACAACATTAAACTCAACTTCCCAGCACATATGCCATGCGTTTCAAATGTTTCTGGTCTTCCGTTCCGCTCAGAGGAAGAACTAAGGAGGCTGCTTTCACAACAGTGTGTTGATACTGTGCGATGGTGGGACAGTATCAGGTATTTAGATCAAGAAAGAGGGGTAAAGCGTTGGATTGGCATTGGGCCCGGGAAAGTCGGCAGGAATCTAGTTGGAAAGGAGGTCGGTAAGGTAATGGCTAAAGGGGGTGGTGTTTGGGCAATCTGTGATACTCGCGAGCTTGAAGACATTGTCAGGAGTCTCGAACAGACTGAATCTGAAGTTTCGTGTGATTAACCCCGTCACAGATACAGGTATGCTCAGGCCGGTGGATTTTATGTTGTCAATTTATTATTTTGATAGTACTTACACACGCAGTGACAGTACAGCAAGGGTAAATAAATGCTTTTCAATTGTCCCATAAATTAGCGGTCCTGGAAGTTCTTCTGTGTCAATGCCACAAACATGATCATGACGACTTACCGCTTCTTGCCATTTCAATATTAACTTGGACTAGCTGACCCGGGCTAATAGAATTAACATTTAGCACATAGTCTGTCTCACTGACTACTATAGGTTATGCCAAACCTTGCTGTATAGTCTAGACCCGCAAATGATCATGAGCCACAGTTATCCCTTTGACATACCTAGAGAATTGGTCTCTACCATAAAGATCGCTTCAAAGTATAGTCGCATCTAGTCCCCATGTTTCACCAATATGCTTGACCTCCGCAATGAATTTATGGTCTGTGATTTGCAAAGAAGTCGAGGCAGGGGCAGCAGTTTTGATTGTAGGGATATGGTCATCTGGAGAATAAAATGGGTTTTGAAAAAGCCGAATATAGGCTGTCTGCAAGGCTCGGAAAACCTGATAGTCAATTGTTAATTTGGACGTTTACTAGTGCGTTGAAATCAAGAAAAGAGTATTCGACATAGACCATCCGTGGTAGGACATACCGATTTCAGGTCTGGATCTTTGGAACAAGTCCTCGGAGACCCTTTCTGTTTCTCGATGCTGCCTGGAACCGGTTGTCCGATCAAATCAACAATGACCAGTAGTTTTACTCCAGTAGTTGTTAGCCAACCATATGCTGCTAGCTTTTCATCGACGGCATGCAAGAGGCCTAGATCTTGATCGACTGAAGTTTGCTTTTGCCGAATCTCAAAGATATCGAGACAGGAATTCAATAGAAACGAGAATTCAACAGTAGAATTCAAATAAGGGGGGAAAAGCGAGATATGCAAAGGGTTGTCCTTCTAGTGCATTAGCATGCCATCTTAAACGAGCCATAGTTATCGTACAGCTTTTCCAATAATACCGATGCAAGCAATTTTCGGTCCTGACATTTTGAAGAAATATCTGTATCTAGAATGATCCACTGCGGTACAAATCGTGTTTCTCTCTGAAGGCATTCAAGTTCAGGGAAACTTCACATGGGCAGATTTGGCCCCTCGTCTGCAAAGGTGGTTGGGAAGTACTGTACATAGGCCGAATGAACATGTTGCATACAACTCAATTTAGTACTATGTAAGTGGGTAGTGTCCATGGTACTGCTATAGATAAGGTAGATTGAGTACAAGACGGTATTAAAATACTCCAATAATATAGCTTAGAATTTAACTTACCTACCTGGTAGACACTTACCCCGATACCTCTTACAGTATTGTATGTGAAATGAGCTCCTACTGCAGTATTTTCTGGTACAATTTCTGTATTATAACAGTAAAGCAAAGACTGGTGTACCACTAGTGCAGAACCGCGAGTACCGGAGCCGCAACGCTCGCCTTCTAGTATCTAATTACCGCCAACAAGCGACATTTTGAAGTCGTTGCAACATCTTTCGGCACTCAGCCCAAGGATCTTCTGAAGGAGTCTCGTAAAAAAACAAGTCACAGCTGCCATGCTTCCTTCAACTGCGCGCGCCCTTCATGGTGAACAATTCACTACTTGCGAGTCATTTGAGCTTTGCTAACGTTAAACAGCACGACCACGCTTGGTCTCATCGATTCCTCGAATCCAACTAGTTACAAATTTGTCAACTACCCCCAACAAATCGGCCACAGCGCTTGAGCAACAAGGGCATTCCGGCCAATCACTGACGGCTTCTGGAAAAATACGGAAGGAGGTACCTCTACCAAGCCAGGAGAAGAAAGAGGGTGCGATGCAATATGTGCTGTTTGTGTCCCTGAGGATCTGAAAACTATATACGTGTCTAACGTTGTACTTAGGACTACCTTGGACCAAGTTGCTAATTGGGCACGTCAGAGCTCTCTTTGGCCTATGACTTTTGGTCTCGCTTGTTGCGCTGTTGAGATGATGCATCTGTCTACTCCGAGATATGATCAAGATCGCCTAGGAATTATCTTTCGAGCCTCTCCTCGCCAGTCAGATGTCATGATTGTCGCTGGAACATTAACGAACAAGATGGCACCCGCTCTTAGGCAGGTTTATGATCAAATGCCCGACCCACGTTGGGTTGTTAGCATGGGCAGCTGCGCAAATGGTGGTGGCTACTATCATTACAGCTACTCCGTTGTTCGTGGTTGCGATAGAATCGTGCCTGTTGATGTTTATGTTCCTGGATGTTCGTCTACACCCTTGACTATACATTTCCCTTCGTGATATTCTTTAAATGTCTGCTGACCGCTAACCTCAAGGCCCACCGACCTCCGAGGCATTGATGTACGGAATCTTCCAACTCCAGAAGAAGATGAGGCACACCAGAATCACGCGCATGTGGTACCGACGCTAAGTCTTTGGTAATATGCTCTATCATCCTATTCGAACTTAGGTTCTCAATTAAGGTAGATGTAAAATTAAAATCATTTTCTATGTTAGTCAATAAGGCAGGCTAGTTACTATTTATATCTACAGAACATTACTTTGTTAGTTAAAGCTCTTTTACTGCTTCTGTCATACTAGGGTATGTTGAAAAGGCCTCCCGCTTATTATATACATGAGTGAACGAACATGTCTTATATTTAAACAGCTGGAGGCCAGCTAAAGCTGAGAAGAGACTGCCTTGTGTCGAGAGATGTCCCCTCAGACAAGCGCCCCTATCTGGCTACCCATTGACAGCAACACCATTGGGATGCAAAGGTTGTCCCGAGATATAGCTGCTATCTTGGCTTGCTAAGAAGACGAAACAAGTAGCCACTTCACTGGGTTGTCCCGGACGGCCCATTGGCACACTGCTGAATTGGTCCATTGCCGAACTAGTCATAGTTGATGGCATCAGAGGCGTCCCAACTAGACGGCGGTTGGTTATCGTGTAATTGTTAGACGAGGATAAGCTTACTTGGGCCAGGACAAACACGATTCACCCGTATACCTCTTCCAACCTGCTGATTAGACAAGCCCCTGGTGAATGCAACAATTGCACCCTTGGTTGCTGTGTAGTCAAGGAGGTCAGGTCGACCGACGTATGCGTTGATAGACCCACAGTTTATTATACTTGAGCCACTTCCCATGTGCCGAAGCGCGTACTTGGAAAGGTAGAAAAATGGATGGGTATTGGTATCGAATGTACGCCCCCACTGATCTCTATTAGTTGCAACTCAGTTTTGATGGTTTTAACATTGACTCCCGAGTCGCGAAGTAACCGTGTTGTGATGTAGCCACAGGGAGCTTTCCACTTACTCTTCAAGGCCACTAATGTCCTCAACCATATTCTGGAATCCCGCGTTGTTGACCAAGATGTCTATGCCACCCATACATTGCACGGCGGTATCAACCACTTTTCGACAATTCTCCTTCTTGCGGACATCCACAGCCAAACAGTGACAATAATGCCCTGTGTCCTGGACCCTTCCTTTTGTCTCTTGTGCGCCCCTCTCCTCTTCTGGTAAGTAGACAATCAAGCTGGATGCTTCTTCCATTGCAAACAAAATAGCAATGGCGCGGCTAATTCTAGAGTCACCACTTGTAATGATGGCTCTTTTCCCAGCAAGCTTTCCTGTTGCCTTATGTGTCTCATAACTTTCTTCGACGGACGGTATGTGGGCTGATACCGATTTTGGGTCATCCAGTTCTTCCTGTAGCCCAGGCTTCTTCTGATGTTGAACAGGAATTTGATGGCCTGGGATAACCGATGAGTGATCTAGTTCGATAGGCTCCGAGTACAGTCTTACCTGGTTGAAACTGGGATTTAGGGTCATGAGCGGCACTCTCTGTGTATCCTTGCATAGTTTAGGCTATAACTTAATCTTAAGGTGTTAGGTAAGGTGAGAAGGCACAGTAAGAGATGTTGCTAACTAACGAAGTTTTGAATTATTTGGATATATGACTGAGTATATTCAGGGCCACCATGCCGCATTAAATATCCTCGAAACGTCTATATCGTCATGCTGATAACTGAGTGACGTCTCAGCGTACATAGCAAGTCTAGAGAATCCTCTCTTGTTTACTTAATACTTGAAAAAGTTGCACTTCCTTCAATTCTCATTTTCATTGCAAATCTATGATTGTGGCGGTTGAGGGTTGAAGGAGTCTGCTTGATTTCGGTGCATTTGTGAGAGACGTTGAACCAAGCTAGAACTAACCCCACTACTAAGTACATTTATACTACGGACCGGTAGAGGCGACCTGGTACTCTGTATGGAATCTTTCCCTTCGGTACCCTCGACTACAATATATCATGCTTAAAACCAAGCACCAGCCCAATTGCTGTCTATTATCTGTATAATATCAGGATTCAGTGGTGTTACTCTGAGCAAAGACAGTGTATGAAGTGAACCAACATCATGGATGGTGATTAATTTTTGCCCCACTATCAAAACATTCCACCCTCGACTTGACAATATCAGTTGTATGGAGCATTGGATGACTACTGTAGGTATGATGCCCAGAATACTGCAGTATCTAGTAGTTCCTAGCTCGGGATTGGTATGTATGTACTGTACATACACCATCATGAACCTGCCCTGATATGTACTACGTACTTCCATGGATACTTCGAGTGTTGTATTAAGAATGACACTCCTGCCGGACCCAGCTACCCCTTCTGAATAACTGACCCCCTTACTCCCACAAGAAAGGATCAGCTGATGACATGATTAAGTCTAGTCTAAAAAGGTTAGTTTAATGAAACACTTATCACTAGGATCTACGAAGATGTATGTATATCAAAGGTCACAGTACTCTGCAGTCTATACTTGTACATGTGGCCAGTGGCCAATAGTATATTATTAAACTAAAACCATATAGCTGTAGATCTACTAGCACTGGAATAAGAGCTTTTAAAATATCTCAATACTATCTTGTACAAAATAAACTGGGTATATAGAGCATTTACCCTAAAAGTTATCCTCGGTCATCCTTGTCTCTTGTGATTCTGAAGCGGCCTGTGGACAAGAAGCTCGGTATTATCTAGGGATAACGGATAGTACGACATTACCACTAGTATTTATAGGCACAAGTGCAAGCATGTTTACTCTGTACACAGTATACTTGGATTGTACTAGTAATGCCTGGACCATTTATGTGGTCTTTTTCTTAGCCAGAGAGCTCATGGGTTTATTCAAATGCGGTAGGCGGTCAGGCTAATATTTTTCTTGTTCTTTTTCTTTTTCTTGTCCCTCATGCTTCTGGCGGTTAAATTGTAATTGATCAAGATTGGATGGATTTGCATTTTCTCAGCAAGAATTTAAACGGTTTCATCTCTTTCTACATCGAATACATACTCCCCATATCCTCTCAATCGAACCACCTACATACACCTACGTATTCTTTTGGCCTCACGGCACTTTGGACCGTCACGGTGCCATGGCTGGTTTTGCAACGGATCCTGCCCTCAACGCAGCATTATCTGCTCCCTGGGCGTTTCTATGTCCTACATCAGAATTAAACGACACCATAGTAGGATCGGCAAAATATTTCCTGGACCCTCTTGCTCTTTCGATTAGTGACACCCAGTCGGCTCGTCAACGACACAATAGGAAACGCAAAAGATGCGAGGAAGACCTAGACCAAAACACCGACGTATTGCAACTAAAGCAGTTATTCGTTGAGGGGTTTGGTTCCGATCAAATTTGGGAACAAGCACTTAGAATCCTTGACTCAGCCGGACAGGAAGTCCAACGTGATTGTACGTTAACTATTCGACATGCTGACCACTCTATATCGGAGGAACATTTCACATCTTTCGAGGGCTCAGATTTTGCAGATGAAAGCTCCGAAGACAGCGAGCTGGGTAGTCATATAGACGGTGCCAGGGATATGTCAGATGTCGACGAGGAAGTCAGTATGGCGTCCGATCTAGATCTAGGCGACTCGGTACATGATGCACTGGATGCCCGAAGTGTTGACGAGATTCTGGACGAGAAAAATGACTCTAGTGAAACTGGAAGTGATGGGGAACAATCCGACACGTACAAAGAGGACCCTTTTGGGTTGAATGATGGATTTTTCTCAATTGATGACTTCAACAAACAATCAAAACTATGGGAAAGCCAAGACACTCGGGGTGGCCCAGATAGTGAATCTGAGAGTGATGAAGAAGTTGACTGGCATGCTGATCCCCTCGCCACTGGGAACAGTAGCGCTCCTTTGAAGAAAACGTCACCGTCAAATGAGACCAACAAGGGTGTCAATGAGGATGACGCAAGCGATGAGGAAGGGCCAACATTCAACAATGTCAACCTTCAGGATGGGCTAGACTCAGATTCAGATGATGCAGATCCTGGTACTGCACATGGGGCAGATTGGATCAATACTAGTGATATCAAATATTCCGACTTTTTTGCGCCGCCACCCCGAAAGTCTACAACCAAAAGGTCACGCCCTCTCCCAAAAACCCAGCCAGTTGCTGCAATCAACAGTAACGATATAGATCGTGCAATGGCCGATGTACGACGCGATCTATTTGAGGATGATGCTTCAATTGAGAACAGCGATGTAGATGATGGTGAACTAGATGAACCTGAAACCCAGAAATCCACACACGAAAAACAACGTGCACGAATCGCCGATGAGATTCGTCGCCTGGAAGCTGCCAACGTTGCAAAGAAAGAATGGATGCTTGCTGGTGAAGCTAGAGCCGCCGAGAGACCAGTAAACTCGCTTATTGAGGAAGATCTTGAAGTGGAAAGAATTGGAAAGCCAGTGTCTGTGGTTACTGCGGAGGTCTCTGAAGATATCGAAGGCCTCGTCAAGCGTCGGATTCTGGCCAGAGAGTTCGATGAAGTTATCCGCCGCCGCCCTGGTATCACTGATGGCCAGGTAGCGAGAAAGAGCCACTTTGAGCTTGAGGATTCTAAAGGTCAACAGAGCCTTGCAGAGCTATATGAGACTGATCATCTCCGAGCTACCGATCCTAACTATGTGGATCCTAAGAATCAGAAGCTTATGCGCGAACACGCTGAGATCAGTAATCTATGGAAAGAAATAAGTTCTCAATTGGATACCCTCTCGAACTGGCACTATAAGCCCAAAACCCCACACGCACACATCAACGTCGTCACTGATGTGGCAGCTATCGTGATGGAGGATGCACAACCAACAGCTGGAGGTGCTGTTGGCAGTGCAGCAACTCTTGCCCCCCAGGAGATCTATACACCTGGGGCTGATAGCAAAACTTCTGGGGAAGTGGTTCTGAGGAACGGATTATCAATCTCCAGAGAGGAAATGACCCGTGAGGAGAAGTCAAGATTAAGGCGACAACACAAGAAGCAAAAGAAATCTACCACCGGCGTTAAAAACCGACAGTCAGGAAAGGCAGCTGAGAAGCAACAAATTGTGTCTGATTTGAAAAAGGGTGGTGTGAAGTTGATTGGAAAGCAAGGAGAAGTCACAGATATCCATGGGCAAAAACCAACTGGAACAGGTCCAAGGAGTGGTGCCGATGCACTAAAGCTGTAATTGATCTTTCTCATACAATCGTATGTACAGTATAGGTAACCCAGGATTGATCTTGGTTTATTTGATTTCTCGACTTCATCGATTTATCGCAGATGTACATGTCTACCCTCAGTTAAACTCCTTTCTCGTTTCCTTCAGTTGCCTCTCTCTTCATCCTTATAGACAGGCGTGCCCGCTTTCAAACGTATTGAATACAGAAAAATGTTTTCTCGCTTGTAAGTCTCCGCCATCGGGTCATCGCAAACCTCGACGATATCGAATAACTTCTTCGCCAATTTCATAAAACGGAGATCCGCTCGTCTACGTCTCTTGAAGCAGAAATAACAAATAGATTCCGGGCCCAGGAGGTTTTTGAGAGTAGATATCAGCAAAGGAAAGGCCGGCTCAAAATAGACACAATCCGCAGCAAGTACGATAGCGGGGTGTGTCGGAATACAATCTGGAAGAGAACCCCCCCAGTTTAGCACCGTGGCAGCAACGCGAGAGGAAAGATTGTTAAGCTTGATGTTGGCCTCCATTAAAGAGAGCATTGGTGCTTGGTCCGTGATGTATACTGATGACGACCCCATGTTGCAACCGCGTGCAACAGCAAGTCCCACGAGACCTCCGCCAGCCCCCAACTCGACTCTAACAATGCCAGTCAGCACCATAAATCCCTTAGTACTCATTAAAACTTAGGTGCCGGACGAACATTGTTTTATCGTTAAGGTCAGATCGATGCTGATGTAACAAATAGCTTGCTAGGACCATGCCTGCCGGCCAAAGCTGGCCTCCGCATCCTTCCTTAAGATCTTCCTTGAGTATTAGGGGTTCTTTCAGTAGGCCGTCAAATGATATTTCGGCGTAGCTAACTCTTTTGAGATCTCTTGCTGGCACAAGCGACTCGCTAACATCGAAAGAATCACTGAGCCCTGATTGTTGGTCGGGGGAATTGGAACTTTCCATCATGCTCAACATAGAAGAATCACAATCAGAGAGCTAGTAACAAGGACTGCACTCACACAGGAGCCGTGCTCTTTTGATTTTGGTCTCTCAAACGAAGGATGTCGTTTCCAATGGGCAATACAGGAAGAAAGGATTAAAGAGAGAATCAAATTGAATAGATAAGATAAATGAGCGGGTACCCAACAAAGAAAATATTTGTTGCTATGCAAATTGAAGGAGTACAGCTTAATTACGGGGTAGTTTGTTGGAGTGGGTTAGGGCAGGAAAACACCAACTGGACTGAACATAAAACCTAGATACTATAATTACTTAGTGTTTCTCTGTAATAGCATGATCCCAAATGTTGAGGGAAAAACATTCGAAACAAATGGAAAGTAAGAATAAGTTAAACAGAGTACTACCTGGAACAAAATTACTCTGTCTATTAAATACAGCTAGTGTATGGAGTACTTTTGAAAGAAAATACTAGTACTCCGGAGTAATGATACCACCATGATTAGTGGTGATTAGCCTAGCTCTATTTGGATAGTTTGCCGACTAACCTGGAATGGATAGTACTAAGATCCTGTACTGTCTACTCTGTATGTAGTAACTTAGCTTTAGTAATACTACTAATAGTAGTTAGCAAGCACCCGGACCTACATACTAGTAGTAATTCGATTCTTTAGTACTACTAGTACTAGCGGGTATGGTCTTGCGTAAATCATTCGAAGTATCTACATAGTGTTACGCCCGGGGCTCCGTCGTCAAGTCTGAGACCAGTTAGCGGACCACATTCCGAGGATTACTAACCTGAAGTCGGCCGTCGACTAAAGTCGCTGTTGGACTGCGGTCTTAGTGAGACAGGAGTTGATCTAAAACTGCTGTCGACACAAGACTACTGTCGATACTAGACTGCTGTCAATACAGAGATACAGTCAATATAAGACTATCGTCGATATAGGGATATAGTCGATATAAGACTGCTGTTAATACTAGACTCGAGTCCAAAGAGCCAGATCTACTAAGTATATATATCCAATAGTTAAAGAGTATAAACAAGTTAAGACTGGTTATACTACTAAAGATAACTCTGTAGTAAAAATATATACTTTAAATAACTAATAGAATTGATTACAAAGAGCTAGACTAAGTATATAAATAAGTATCTTTATATATCCTAGATACTTAAATATCAGTTTAGTTTATAGTATACTACTTGATCTATATATACTATAATAATATTTATATATTATTACTTGGTGAGTATATACTATTTTATTATATAATCTCTGTAAATATTTATTTATTTATATTAGATATACTGCACAATAGATATACTTATATTTATTAGATTTTAGATTTAATCGATATTACTGTATTAATACCGAGAATATTTAATATTATTATTCTAGTAATATTAAGATCTCTCAATATTATTATAATTATAATATTCTGTTCCTGCTGATATTTATATGTCTGAATATTATAGATTTAATAATATTCTACCAGTAATAATATTTTACTGTTTATTATTATTATAGCCAATATATTATCTGTTAATATTGTATTAGACCAGGATCTATAATATTATTTCTTCTCTTCTAAATTTTTGTTCTTGAAAGTATAAAGTTATAATCTTTTTTTTTATAAATTTATAGATTTTCTTTTCTTGTAAATCTTTCTTTTCTTTTATAATATTTTATTATATCTCTGCGTAACCGGTATAAGAAATATTGTTAATAGACTGACTGTATTGTTTATAATAATATATAGATTAAGTTTTTTTATCTTTAGTATTACTCTTACAGTTTTTCTTATTTTATAGATTTAAATAGTCGAAACTGTACTATATATACTTGATATAGTTATAAATATAAGAAATATTTCTATAGTAACTGTAAGTAGAAAAAATTGAAGTATAATAAAGAAAAAGTTAATCTTGAAATTAAATAAGTCAAAGAATAATTAGAGTAGTTATTTATAAAAATAAAATATTTATAGAAATAGTATAAATTTCTAAAAGATTGTAGAGTTAAGATATTAAATTATAACTCGGTAATATTAGAGCAGTTAGATAAAAAAAATCTATTAAATATTGAGAATCTCTGAGAGCTTGAGTATTTAATTAATATTAATAATACTACTCTTCTTATCGATATTTTAGATAATTTTAATCTAATCTAGTTAATAAATAATCTCTTGTTCTGGATAAACTTTAATCTATCTACTAATAATACTGTTAAATTAGCTAATAATAATCTGTCAGATTTTTAATAGATTTCTATAAATTTTCTGAGATACTATAACTCTTTTATTTTATTAGATAGTATAGTTTTCTATTAACTTGTTTATATTTTAGTATTTTTTTGACTTTATATTCTGTTTTCTCTTTGTCAAGTTTAATATTTTTAGTAATTTTAGTATTCTCTGGTACAGATTCTAATAATAAGATATAAAATACTGGATATATTCTTTTTATCGAGTCTGGTAATTTTAGTTGATAATTAATATTATCAATTTATTTTTCGATTTTAAATAGTTCAATTTTCTAATAGTTAAGTTTTAAACTTAGTCTTTTTATTTTAATATTTCTATAAAGTAGAAATACTTTCTTTCTCTTTTTAAAAATAGATTCTCTTTTATAGTATTGATTATAGTATATTATTATATAATAGTTAAAAAATTTAATATCTAGAGATAGTTAATTGTACAAGTTCTTTAATTCTTTAACTGTTTTATTGGTTTCTTCTATAATAGAATATTTATTTCTTAATTTTTCTGCCAGTCTAATATAGTATCTATAGTTTATATAAAAAAATATTATTTCTATTATTAAATATTCTGTATTATTATATATAAACTGTACTGTTAGTAATAGATTTATTTAGTTATTCTATTAATAATTAATATAGTATTATAAATATTGTTTAATTATCTGATTTATTTTTTCTATTTAACTGTTTTTTTATAGATAATATACTGTAGTTAATTTCTAATCTATCTCTATTAGATCTATAAATAATTGTTAAAACTTGGATATAAATAACTTGTCTTGATTTAATATAATCTTTTCTAATATTCTATAATAAATAAAGATATAGTTAATAAGTAAGTATATAAGATATACTGTATCTAGTATCGATTTACTTAATATTAAATAGATATATTTAATAAGTCAGTCTATTATTACTGTTATTATATTTTATTTTTCTGATTTAGATAGTAATTTCACAAAGTCGATTGTAATTTATTTCCAAGATTTCGAAGATATATCTGATAATTATATAAGTCTATATAGTTTATATTTTACTGGTTTATTTCTGATATATATTTTATATTTTTTAATATATTTCCTGATTTATTTTGCTATATTCGGGAAATAGTAGTTTCTTGTAATTTGTTCCGATATTTTTTCGATTCCAAAATATTTTTATACTGGGTTATTATAGTATTCCTAGATAATTATATTTTATAGATTCTGAGAAATCTATATAAGATTTCTGTAATATATAATTCTATCTTTATTTTTAGTAAATAAGTTATTACTTATTTCAAGTTTCTGGATAAGTAATTTATCTTTTTTATTTACTTTTGTAATAAAATATTAAATAGAATTCTTAATTTCTATAGTAACCGCTATAAGAATCTGTTTATTATATCTGATTGATCTATTCTTATACTATTTTAATATTATAGATTTAATTATTTTTTTTTTAATTTTATAGTCGGGTTTTCGATTTAAGATATCGATTTAGCTATTTTCTGTCTCTTTATAATATTCAATTCTGAAATTATACTATAATAATATTTCAGTCTATCTTATTTATTGTTGTATAAGCTTCTTTATAGTTATAAAATATATTAAATTTTTATAATCTGATTTTATAATAATCTGATATTGTACTTCTTTTAGATAGACTCTCTATTTTTTAAATACTGATACTATAGCCAATAATTCTTTATTATAGATATTATAGTTTAGTTTAGCTTGAACTAGTTTTCTAGATTTAAATACTATTAATTATAATTTTCTATCTAGTTCTGCTTATATTATTTATATATTAATTGTATAG